TCTCGGTCCTCCACAGTCACTATTAAATATTCCATTGGAGAAATCTTGTATATACACGCATGTTCACAACTGCTCACABACAGGTGCTCTGATCCGGGGGGTTCTGACAGGTCACTGAGTGTGTATATATGTCTGTGTGTATATACTGACAATATTTATGAATGTAGGAATGTATGTATGTATATCTTTATATATGTATGGGTATGTGTGTAGTTTTATATATGCCTTCTATGTATTTATCCATTTATTTTTCAGGTGAGCGGACAGATGTTGGGTGTGTGGTCCTGTGTTTTGTTGGTGTGTATTTAATATAATCCTAATTGCTATTTCAGTCTTTCTATCTTTCTAATTACTTCTCTCTCTGTTTTTCTCTCTCTCTATTTTCTCTTCACAAAAAAAATCATAATGGTGTGGAGAGGATGGCTATAAGGGGAGAAGGGAGGCCATCCAAAAAAAAAAGGTGAGAACGGTAAAGGTGGAGCGCCTTTGAAGCTTCGATATCTGAGAAAACAGCATGTAGGAAAAAACAGAAGAGGGAGACAGGAAATGTGCAGCTTGGTATGTTTTCATTGTTTGCAGCTTGAGTATCTGCTCGTCATACACCTCAGATGTGTTTGGGTTCTTAGAAGCAGAAAATGTATTTTTTGAATTTTCATTTCTGCAGTTAAKGTAGCAAAGGTTCATTGGAACAATATTTTTTTGAAGTTGTGGTCACAGTTAATCCACATTCTGATTTACAAACTAGAGGAACCCTTTAAATGTGGTTAAATCCCCCCTTATTCAGGCACCACCATTTGTTTCGACTATAAAGAAAAGGGTTCCCGACAACACTCYTGTTTGTGACAAATCTCAGCGAACAAATGAAACCAGAAGTGAAATAAAACTAAAGCATTCTTTTCTCCTATACACACACAGACACACAAAAAGCTTTGACACCCACAAGAAGGAAGTGCTGCTTTCCCTGTAGACAGACTGAAAAGGAGTCATCTGTAGAAACAACAAACATTTTACAGTAATCTTGGAGTCCATATAACTGTTAGATACCCAGTGAGTTGAAGGATGGAGTGGAAAAAGAGCCAGTCAGGATTCAGAAGTGTCTTGGTATGGGAGTCTGAAGCCCTTTCTTCTTACGGTTCCGGGGTGCTTTGGGTTTGGTGTTCATGTAGTCATTCTGATTTTCTGCCTCTTTCATCTTGAGCTGCAAGACATAAGTAGACTTTTACCTGCTGTTCTACAGATATGAAGTCATTTTTGTGAGGTTCAAATCAAATGGTCCTCGTTTTAAGGATTTTAAAAGTTTTTTTTTTCATTTGAATCTTTAACAGGGATAATGTTAGGTTGACATGTTTTAGTGATCTTCCATCATGCTCCTCCATCTTGCCTGTTTTAGATGTTTCTCTGCTTTGACACACCCAAATCGAATGAATAAAAGATTAACTTGAACACCCGCTGAAGAGCAGGAAAACACTGAAAACATGCAGGATCGTGGCCCTTGAGGTCAAGGATTATAGACACCACTGTTTTAGACCAGAGTTAGATCACATGAAAAACATTGTGTTGTTACAGTCAGGTTTGACACACAAGCAAAAACAAGACCAATTTAAAGTCTGAAACAGTTTGACATTTGGGACAGTACTGACTGATGACTATGCAGCTACCAGACGCAAAACTGAGTCACCAAAGAAAAAATATCATACTTGTTTTTCTTTTTTCTTTACTAAGTTTAAACATTTATTTGAGTTTATTTATTTATTTATTTTTTACTTTTTATATAATTGTTAATATTTGGGGATTTTGAGGTTATACAGTGGGTAAATTAAGTATTGAACACGTCACCATTTTTCTCAGTAAATATATTACTAGAGGTGCTAATGACATGAAATTTTCAKCAGATGTCGGTAACAACCCAAGTGATCCATACATACAAAGAAATCAAACCATAAATGTCCAGAAATGAAGTTATTTGTAATAATGTGGAATGGCACAGGGGAAAAGTATTGAACACATGAAGAAAGGGAGGTGTAAAAAGGCATGGAAAGGCAAGACACCAGCTGAACTCTCTCAGTAATTAGAAAGCAAGCCTGCCCCTTGTCAGTGCAAGTTAATATCAGCTGGTTCAGTCCCAAATGATGGCCAGGTGTCACACAAGAACCATCTGATGATGGGTAAAAGTAAAGAGTTCTCTCAAGACCTTCACAACCTTATTGTTGCAAAGCATAATGATGGCATGGGTTACAGAAGAATGTCTAAACTTCTGAAGGTTCCAGTGAGCACTGTTGGGGCCATAATTCAGAAGTGGAAAGAACATTATTTCACCATAAACCGACCACGACCAGGTGCTCCTCACAAGATTTCTGACAGAGGAGTGAAAAGAATTATCAGAAGAGTTGATCAAGAGCCAAGGACCACTTGTGGAGAGCTTCAGAAAGACCTGGAATTAGCAGGTACGATTGTTTCAAAGAAAACAATCAGTAATGCACTGAACCACCATGGCCTGTATGCACGCTCACCACGCAAGACTCCACTGCTGAAGAAACAGCATGTTGAAGCTCCTTTAAAGTTTGCTGCACAACATTTAGACAAACCTGTGAAATAATTGGAGAATATAGTCTAGTCAGATGAGACCAAAACTGAACTGTTTGGATGCCATAATACACATGTTTGGAGATCAAATGGCACTGCACATCAGCCCAAAAACACCATACCAACAGTGAAGTTTGGAGGTGGGAACATCATGGTGTGGGGCTGTTTTTCAGCATATGGTACTGGCAAACTTCAAATAATTGAAGGAAGGATGAATGGAAAAATGTACAGAGACATTCTTGGTAAAAATCTGCTTCCATCTACCAGGATGATGAAGATGAAACGTGGCTGGACATTTCAGCAAGACAATGAGCCCAAACACAAAGCCAAGGAAACTCTCAGTTGGTTTCAGAGAAAGAAACTAAAGCTGCTGGAATGGCCCAGCCAATCACCTGACCTGAATCCAACAGAAAATCTATGGAAAGAACTAAAGATCAGAGTTCATAGAAGAGGTCCATGAAATCTTCAAGATTTGAAGACTGTTTGTGTGGAAGAATGGGCCAAAATCACACCTGAGCAATGCATGCCACTAGTTTCTCCATACAGGAGGCGTCTTGAAGCTGTCATTGACAACAAAGGCTTTTGTACAAAGTATTAGATAAATTTCAGGAAGTGTGTTCAATACTTTTTCCCTGTGCCATTCCACATTATTACAAATAACTTCATTTCTGGACATTTATGGTTTGATTTCTTTGTGTGTATGGATCACTTGGGTTGTTACCAACATCTGGTGAAAATTTCATGTCATTAGCACCTCTAGTAAATATATTTACTGAGAAAAATGTTGACGTTTTCAATACTTATTTTACCCGCTGTAAAATATTTCAGTCAGTCCATTGCGTAAATTACCAGGAAACTAGTCCAAGATAAGGGTTGAAGTTTTCTGCATTTCCAAGAATAATAACATTTTTATTCACCGAAAGAAATAAGAAATGTAACATATTCACTGTCTAAATTTTTACATTTTTAAATAGAAATCCAACTTTCAAGTTGGTAATTCTAATTTTCCATTTGCTTTTGAATAAAGTAAGGCAGTTTCTCTATAATAGTTACAAATATACCGGTAGTAATTAAAGGCTACTATTCTGAATAAGTTTATTGTTTATGTTTATAATCCTGGTAGTTGTGAAACCTAATACTTGTGTTGAAATCTTAAAAAAATAACCAAAAAAGATCACTCAAAGAACTTAAATATTTAATCTTTTTCCAAAATCACTTTATTTTATTAAGTAGAGATTATGAATGTCTTAATCTTGCTGATGTTGTTTATAACAATTTTATCTTATTTGCACCTGGAAGAGTTCTTATTTATTTAGTGGCAGGCAAACTAGCATTTAGCTGTCATGTGCCATATATAAAACTCAAAGTTTCCATATGTTAATATTTGATGTCGAGTGAAACGATAAGCTTAAAATAGATGAATTATTCTTTTCCTTCTCTTTGCATGCTTGTTTGAGGTCTTACCCAGTTGATTGAAGCAACGATGGTGATTGCTAAGCCGTAGGTGCTGAGAAGTGAAACTGCTGCGATCCAAACCCATAATAATCCTTGGCTTTCTTCTACTGGCCCTTTGTCTTTGTTACACGAGCAGTGATCTATTGGAAGAAACACAATCAGATGGGTTTGATAGACTGCACGATGACATATAATCTTTTAAATTTCAGCCCTGTTTGGTGCACTTACCCTCTGTAAAGATTATGATCCTCTCATTACTTTGTTTCAGTACATAAGGAGGAGGGAAATGAATTATAGCATTACATCTGTAGATTGCTTGGTCTCTGGCTATCTCTGGTCCAAAAAGGTTGAAACCTACAATTTGATTTGACTCGCTTTTACATGGTTGGACTTTTATTTTCGTTTGGTTACAAACCATTAGGTTATTAGTGCCTAGCTGGCAAAGAATGGTTTGGTTTTTGAAAAGTTGAAACTTCCCAACTTCGATAGACACGTTTGGGCATGGTATAAACACAGGCTGGTGGCTTTGTGCATTCTGGCAACGGATTTCAAGATCTGTGGAGAAAAATATGACCCAAAATCAATGTGCAGCAAACATCAAAACACCTTTGCAAGAAATATACCTTCATATAGGTAAAGCATCATTCAACTCTACACATATAACTACATTAAACTGAAATTCAGGCTTGGAAACTTGCCACTTTCAGAGCAACTCCATGCCCACAGTGGAATTTGCTTGATATTAATTAACCCATCTAAGCACTTTTATCTCTTTTCAGACAGTTTGAAATAATTGGAGTTTTGCCATCTGAGTGGTATACTTGAGTCATTTGCAGAGGTGCGGGGCTCAGATATAGTTTTCATCTGCATTTTTACACCAAGTGCAGCTGCTTTTTTTTTCTAAACATGTTTTTAGCAAGTAGTAAAAGACCGAAAGGAAAACACTAAATAAGCTAAAAAGGATCTGCTATTTCTAGCTTTAAGCTCTAAAATCAAAACCATCCAACCATCTTTGTTAAACAAAAATAACTTTTTACTGCTAGGTTTCATGTTTCTCCCAATTACTTTTACTTAATGAATATAACCGTAAGAATGTAACTTTCAATAAACAAGTATTTCCACTAAAATACATCACCTGGATTCTGTGGTAAGCTGCAAACTCGTAGTGTATCCTTGGGGCTTTGGTGCAGAGAAGCATGAGGTAACATGCAACTCAGTAAGATCATGAGCATCCAGCAAACTCCCATCGTGGTTTTCTCTTTGCGTGGACAACGTGCAGATTTCTTCCAGATGAGCAACTTTTCTGCATCAACCAAAGCTCTAAAGTTGGATTCGTCCTCTGGGATACAACCGACCCTGCTTTTCCACGCACGTGTTCTACTCGTTCTGCCTCTAACACTCACCCACGGTTGTGACTGAACCTCTCTGCCGTGAGAGAAAACATCCTGTGACAAGAGGACACCCCCTCTTCTAAAGTTTCCGCTCTCTGACAGAATTTGTGACCTGTCATATTATGATTATGTATTTACGTAATTAAATGTTCCACGTTCAGATATTGTGCTAAAGTTTCTAATTTGGTTTTGAAGCTTTCTTTTTTTTCTTTTTTTTTTTTTTGCGTCAGCGTGGAAAATTTGGAGAAATGAAACAGCAGTGAAGTTAGTTTCAAGTTGGATATTCGAGCTCCGCGGAGTAAGCGGCGTTTAGCTCAAGTTTGATCCGATTTATGAACGCTAATGTCGGCCAGCGGTTCTCCACCGCTCCCGGCCGCAGCACCCCAAGGTTCACTTAGGGACTATCAACAAATTACCGAACCAAACATTCCTGTCAAAGAAATGTTAATAAATGCCTTGAATTGTAACCAACTAACTAATTGTCAGTGATAATTCATGCTTTTACATGAGCCAAAATAGCATAAAATTTTAAAGTCATATACAATGTTTCAATAATTTTAATATTAAACAATATTATGTTTTCTTCAATAGCTTTCAGGTCATTTGACCTAATGACTCAGAATCACTTTGAAATTGTTCTACTAGTCTGTATAGATGAGGCACAGACATTTGTTTTCCATTTTGAGCCAATTTTTATGTTTTAGGATTTTTTTTTCATCAAAATTGAGGGTTTTTATTCAATAGCTTCCAGGTCATGTGATCTGTTGACTCAGAATCACTTTGAAATAATTGGAGTAGTCTGTATAGATGAGGCACAATCATTTATTTTCCTTTTTAAATAATTTTCCATTTTTTTAGGAATTTTTCGGGTCAAAATTGAGGGTTTTTATTCAATAGCCTCCAGGTCATGTGACATATTGATTCAAAATCACTTTGAAATTGTTCTACTAGTCTTTTTAGATGAGGCACAGACATTTATTTTCCATTTTTAGCGAATTTCCATTTTTTATAAAAAATTTTCTTCAAAATTGAGGGTTTTTATTCAATAGCTTCCAGGTCACGTGACCTACTGACTCTAATTCACATGACCTGGAAGCTATTGCAAGGGCGTAACTTTAGGTCTAACATTGGGGGGGTTGTGCTCTCTGTCCATTTATTTATTGAATAAATTACTTTTGTAAAATGATTCAGGATATTTTAGGGTTAAAATATATTGMGATGCTTTTACTGTGATTTACTTAACTTTCCTGTTTTCTCTGTATTTATTCTTGAGGCAATTTGGTGATTTCTCACCTTATGCCTCCCCGTTTCCTGGCAACGCACCTGCTGATTGAACACACCTGCAGAGGAGCTGGCTCATCAGCACTGGCTTTAAAAGGAGGACTGAAGGATCAACTCATCGCTGAAGCATCAAACCACTTTTGTTAAAAGGAAATCATCTTGGAACTGTTTTTGGATCCTGAACCAGTCTGCCTGCCTGCCGAGCCTCTCACCTGCTTCGTGCGTTGCCTCCTTGCCTCATCTGTAAATACAACACTATCCTGTAAATATCARGTTTGGATTTTTGGACTCTGGACCTCCTCCTCCAAGTTTAACCCTAAACCCTCACTAGTAAGCATAAATATTATTATTGATTATCACCTCCTAGAAATCTGTTACTTACCTCTACAAACCCTCTGCTTCCAGGTCCCGCTCCCCGTTCACTCCCTGTGTAAATAAACAAACAGTATTTTATTATTCAAGTTCTCGCCTCCTGTGTTGTTTCTGGTATTTGCTCACGGTGACCTTGTTAAAACCTGATAGTATGCTTCAGCCAAGCAATATGTCCGTGAGCAATACCGGGAACAATTCTGGGTCCAACTCCTCTTCTGAACAGAAATTAAATGAGCATGAACATATGTTAAATCAATTGTTTCAGTTACATCTGGAAACTAAATCTATGTTAAACCAAGTCTCTCAAAGTGTAATCTCCATTGATAACAGACTAAACACCATTACTCCCCCCACTCCAGCGCCCTCTCCAGTTCCTGCCGCACCGGTACCAGTTCTCTCTCCCCGAGAACCTGAACTCAAGCCATCCGAATTTTTTGATGGTAATGTAAACCAATGTGGAGGTTTTTTGTTACAGTGTAGATTAGCTTTCGCCCGATCACCCTCTCTTTTTCCTAATCATTCTGCACAAATCACATACATTGTGACATCTCTTAAAGGAAGAGCGTTGAAATGGGCACAAGCCTTTTTGTCGGCACACTCTGCCGAGACTCTCTCTATTCACGTTTTTCTTCGAGAATTTCAACGTGTGTTTGACCACCCTCTCCAGCAGGAGGCAGCAGCTAAACGTTTAATCAATCTACGCCAGGGAGGAAGATCTGTTGCTGAACACTCCGTGGACTTCCGCATTGCTGCTGAGGAGGCGGGCTGGGAGGAATTGGCTCTCAAAGGTATTTTTGTAAACTCTTTATCTGAGCAAATTAAGGATTAGTTGGCTTCCCGGGATGAACCCGGGAGCCTGGACGAATTAATCGCTCTGTCTATCCGCATCGACAACAGACTCCGAGAAAGGAGAAAGGAACGAGACTACAACTCCCAGAATCCCCGGAGCTCGTTTTTCGCTCCCGATAACAAACTTCCGTTTCCTGATWCCTCACCAATGGCAAACGAACCAGAGCCCATGCAGGTTGGACGAACGCGACTAACACCAGAAGAGAGACAGAGACGCTTTCAAGCTAAATTGTGCATTTACTGTGGAAATCCGGGACACTTCGTCGCCTCATGCCCGCTTCGGGGAAACGGGGCGGTTCGTCAGTAACACAGGGGAGGCTGACGAAGGACATTAAATTCTCCCCTCACTCATTACTTTCTTTACCTGCTACAGTCGTGTTTCAACAAGTGAAATTACCCATTTCTGCTCTCATCGACTCTGGTTCCTAACAGAATCTCATCTCCAGTGACCTGGTTGAGCAACTCGGCATACCAGTCTCATCACTTGACCCCCCCCCCCCCCGTTCCATCATCGGACTTACTGGACAACAACTTTCTCAGGTCACATACATACAAGGTTACAGATCTCCATGTGATTGTGTCTGGAAATCATCACGAGATGGGTGAGTTTTTTGTTTTTGATTCTCTCACTCCTCAACTTATTTTTGGTTTTCCCTGGCTATGCACCCATAATCCTGTGTTCAACTGGAAAGAAAGGAGAATAGAAAGTTGGAGTTCTCACTGTCTTGAAGTGTGTTTAAAATCAGCTGTTACCACCTCCGTTAAAYGGGAGGAACCTCCTGTTGAGGAGATTGATTTGTCTAAGGTTCCCAAGGCCTACCATGATCTTGCACCAGTTTTCAGTAAAAACAGAGCTTTGTCATTACCACCACACCGACCGTATGACTGTTCTATTGAACTCACTCCTGGTGCCCCCTTACCTTCTAGCCGATTGTATAATCTATCGGGTCCAGAAAGGGAATCCATGAGGGAGTACATTGAGGACTCATTAGCCTCTGGCATCATTAGACCATCTACAGTGGTTTGCAAAAGTATTCATACCCCTTGAACTTTTCCATATTTTGTCACATTACAACCACAAACATAAATATATTTC